TTTTTTTTTTTTTTTTTTTTTTTTTTTTTTTTTTTTTTTTTTTTTTTTTTTTCCCTTAACCGTTCCCACCTCGGCAGATAGGACAGCTACGGTGAGGATGATGTGGATGTTCACAAGGATACCCAAGGAGAGTTGCGCCAGCACATCATTCAGCAGAAAGGCTAGCACGAACCATCCCCATCAAAACATTCATGACAGAGGACATCATGATGTTGTCCACATGTCAAAAAAACAGCAGGACGTTCATCACAGTGCGACATCATGCAGTTCTGATAGCGTCCTTGGGCACAAAAGGGACAACGTATATCCGGGTGATAGGGATGTGTACAGTGAGGAAATGTTGGACACACTTCAGTACAGACGGCAGCAGTCGCAATAAATTGATAATGGTTATATATTTCTATTTGACGATATATATATATATATATATATATTATCCCCGACGACAGTCACCAGACTCATAAGGGACGTCCAAATTATAGATTAAAATAGGAAAAGAAGCAGCGGATACGTCTAGATGGGGGCGTTCTATCCATTTCTATTTGCTAGTGGGACCTAACCCACTAGCAAAGATAAATGTGTCTGTGAACAGTTTTTCCACATCTCTTGTGAAAACACGTCCAGATTCAGGAGCTCGGTCCCACTAACAGCTTAGAGTTTCATCAACACCCGAATTTGGATGTGTTTGTGGATACGTGCGGTTGAGGAAAATACAGGATCTCGGTCCCACTAACAGCTTAGAGTTTCATCAACACCCGAATCTGGACGTGTTTGTGGATACGTGCGGTTGAGGAAAATATACGTGATTTTATGAACATCTTCACAACCGCGCCCAAATTCAGGCTCAGGCGTTGAGGAAACTTAAAGCTGGCAGTGGGACCTGCCCCCGGAGGCATGGATAAAAACCTGCCGACCAATAGCCACTGAGGCACAGCGTTACGCCCAAAAAAATAAAGGGGGAGAGAAAAAAAAAAAAAAAAACAGATCCATCATGGTTAGCTGCATCTTTCATCAAACACGTTCAGATTCAGGAGTTAAACCTAACCCTATGTGCTAAGGGGACCTCGCACAGTACTGGGCCGGTCGGCACTACGTACAAATAAAATCGCAGCGATTCGAACTCCCGCCGCTCCTGCGCATCTCGCGAACACGCGAGTAACAGAGCCGCAAGCATCATCCATAACGTGAACGTAGACACACAGCCTACGCATGCGTACATACATCCAATGGTGGAAAAAAAACTGAAGTCCAGTGGGAATGTCAGACTGTCGTCGCCAGTGCCGCGTTCCGCGTCGTCTAACACGGCATAACCCTGAACCATAAAATATGGGGAAAAGTTATAGAAGTTTCCCACGGCAAAACCTTTGTATCGATTTCTCCCCAAAATGGACTTGCTGCATTTGAGGTCCCCCAATAACTTTTCTGTTATTCTTGCTCCCCGGTCTGAGGCCGGTAGGGCCTAAGACCGGGGTTGAGGCCACGACGGCTTGATAACCAAGGCTCAAGTTTTCGTTCCGGTAGTCACTTCGAATTTCCAGCCGCCAGCCAACCCAGTTGTACGTGGGCGATATTCGGGTTCGGTACATTCGAATGGGCATAGCATACTCGCGTCCGCACTTCCTTCACCTCACCTGGGCCCGATTCAAGAAATATACATCCAAGAAAGTGCAAGTGTGCCGTAGGTCCGAAAATGACTTCCCGCCATTTTTGCATAGGGGGCGTTACCGGCCCAGGACGGGCCGGATGTACTTGGGCCTTCACCTCACCTGGGCTCAATTCGAGAAAGATACATCCAAGAAAGTGCAAGTGTGCCGCAGGTCCGAAAATGACTTCCCGCCATTTTTGCATTGGGGGCGTTACCGGAGGTACTTGGGCCTTCACCTCACCTGGGCCTGATTCGAGAAAGATATATCCAAGAAAGTGCAAGTGTGCCGCAGGCCGACGTTCTGAGGCCCTTACAGAAAAGGTAATTGGGGGACCTCAAACGCAGAGTGTCTATTTTGGGGAGATATGGATACAAAGGTTTCGCGGGGGGGGGCTTCTATAACTCTTCCCTAAAATATGGTACCAACGATCGGCCACGAAAAATCAAACATTCCGCTTCTCCCGCCAAATAGACGGTGTCACAAGTTGTACTAAATTACAACTACGCGATGCAGGTGGGACCTAGCCCCCGGTCGTCTCGATTTTCGATCGACTGTGCAGGGGCCTCGGCCCATATGCAAGCGAATAGTATAGTTTACTAGTCGTGTGACAGTGTGGGACTGTTAGAAACTGTCTATTGTATTTTCAACGGACGGTGGGATTATGCATCCCACCATTTAGGGCAGGGAGCCGTGAGACTCTGTTTTGTCATTGGTTTTTAGTTGCTTTAGGGGGCCCGTGTGGAATGGAGGGAGAGGCAATACGGTGTAGTATACTACCCTCTTTTTTTCGGCGTAGAATACTATTCCTTTTTTGCCGCCTCACTCCGCTGTTCTGTGGACATGCACAAAGGACAAATATCATGGCCTAGCTGCACTACTCTCCAAATGTGCAAAATTAGACTCAATCCACGACCAGAACATGGAAAGATACATTGGCATTTTTTTATTGTTTTTTAAAGGTAAGCTATATTCTTCTCTCATCTATCTTAGTTTTTCATTTTTTTTTTTAATATCTCAGTTTTCTTGGTAGTACGCATCTATCTCGTCCTCTCACTATTGGCATTTTTTTGCCTTTTGCACATGTGGAGAGCACTGCAGCCAGGCCCCAAGGGTGTTTTTTTTTTTGTTTTTTTTTTCCACTAGTAACTCCGAGCCTGTTTTTTCCTACCCTGAATTTCACTGCACCGAACCTAGGCCCCAATCCATTTTCTTTATGGTACTCTCACAGGGGAAAAAAAAAAAAAAAGGAACAAGACAAGTTGCGACCGTGAAACTCACAAAACAAGGAAAAAAAAACGAAGGGGAGACTCACGTCATGATTGCAGTTGTATACATTCTTGGAAGTGGTAGTGTGAGTGTACCCTCAGTGAGGGCATCTCAGCCTCGTGACCAGATTGTCAGATTCCAGAAACGAAAAACAAAAACAAAAATGGAAACACGGATTGGGTCATGAAAATTGTTGGATACATTCCTCTAAGTGCCATTGTGATCACCGTTACAATCCTCTGATCACAGATTCCACTGTCAAATTGTAGAAAGAGTGAGGAAAAAAAAAAAAGGGAACACTGATTCGGCCCTGAAAATAGTTGGATACATTTTTGTAAGTGTCAGTGCCATGAGGCTTACGATCCTCTGAGGAAAAACACAAAGGGCTGGATACATTTATTTTTATTCTTCTCCTTTTTTTTTAATCTTTTTATCTTTTTTTTATCTTTTTTATCTTTTTATAATATTAATGGGACCCAATAATATCGATACTAATACTGAAGTAGTACGTATGGACCACAATTATGATTTTTTTTTTTTTTTTTTCTCTTTCTTTAAGTACTATACTGTTGTCTGACGTTGATGTGTTGTACATGGAGTAAGGAGAAGTGGTTTCGTGATATCATCTAGCATTTTTTGACTTAGGCCTCCGGTAGGCCCCAAGTGGGCGCACTGGTGATGCCGTGAGATAGTAATCTTTTTTGAAAGTATTTTTCGTGATATTACATATTTTTTAAGACTTAGTCTGTTAGTATTACCACTATATAAGGTAGTATAATTCTTAGGATGAGTCACCTGCGACGACTTTCCGGACCCCTGATGAGACTGCTTGGCGGAGCAGTCGAAACCGGTTGGGTCAACCCGCCGTTTTGTGCGTTACGACATATTTTTTCAAAATTCAAGTCGTGTTCGGGCAACTGCTTTAAGACTATGTTCCACCTCCTTCCTCCTCCTCCTTGCCTTCTCTTGCTCATCTTCTTGCTGTTGCGACGGTGTGTTCGGTACTGTTGTTGGTTGCCATTCGTTGACATCTCAACTTGTACATCCGGAGTAACTCACGTAGGAATCACACTACGTTGGCGTGGCTTCATCATTAGTTCGATTCAGTCATGGCTTCCAATCTGCAGTCGTCTACCATAGTTAGAACATGCTATAATTGTGGTGATCCAGGCCATTTTTCTCATTGGTGCCCACACAGGACTAACAACGGTGTCGGTACTTTTGGTTCTCAGCCTATGCTCACTCTACTTTCTAATTCTAATACTGCTATCTCTCTTCCCTCTACATTTAATGCGATAGCGACCGGACAATATAGGAATAACGAATGGTACGAAGCGAAGCAACGGTTGATCTTGCTAGAGAACACGGTGGCTGAGATCAAGTTGAGACATGATGTTGAAGTGGAGCGAGAGAAGAACAAGAAGGACGAAGAAGAAAAAAAGAAAAGAGAGTTTGAAGACAAGGAACGACGCGAACAAGATCGAAAGGAGAGAGAAGACATGCACAAACGAATGATGGACGATATGAACACGAAGTGGGAGAAAGTATGTGGAAAGATGAGTGAGAAGCAAGTAGAGTCGAAGGGGCAGACAGAGATTGAGATACTACAAAAGGAGATCGAGAAGCTAAAGGGAAGAATGAACGTTGCTGCATCCTCTACAGCGACCAACAAAGCAACCGCGGAAGGCGATGAGGTGGTCAGGCAACTTTTAAGGGAGCAGGAGAATATGAAGGCAAGACTTGAAGAGTCGCTGGCTTCACAAAAGCGGTTGGAAAGTTTGGAAGCAGAGATGACACTCATGAGAACCATGAGAGACGAAGCCCTTCAAGAAGTCGAAACTTGGAAGAATGAGGCGCTGCGTCCAGGAAACAAGAGGGGTTGTGCTGCCGTTACTCCTTCTTCAGTGGCACGTACACCGTCAAAGACGAATCCTGATTACGCCGGTTTGGTTCACCGGCATACCATAAAGGTTGAAAAACTGAAGGACCTGTGGATCCTGGATTTCAATGCGAGGCAGGAAAAGGAACAAGAGAATGAGAAACTCAAGTCAGCGATGGATGAGGCACGAAGAGTAGCTTTGGAGAAAGAACAGGAGAATGAGAGGTTGAAGGTGGTTATTGCAGATTTGGAAGCGACACAACGCGAACCTTGTACTAATTTACGTCGAAGAATGGACGAGATAACATCCCGATCCACGGGGCAGGGGAAGAAGAAGACTGTCACTGACCCTAGCACAGCACGAGCACTGGAGAAGCAGAGGTTTGCTAAGGATCAGCGCAAAGACTTGGCGAACAAGAAGAAGGATGAGATCACTAAGATCTGTTCAAAAGAAGGTTTGAAGTACGTTACCATTAAATAGTTAGTCGAAGACATTATTCAGGCCAGAGTCGTGAAAGCCTATCCAGAAACAGGTAAGGCGGTGCAGGTTGTCTCCGACGACTCGAGTGTTGGGACATCCGACGAGGGGCCGCTGGCGAACGGTGAGGAAGATGCCTCGTAGGTTTGTCCCCGAATGCGGCTTCGCTATGGTCGATTGCTATTTCTTGTTCACGATTTAGATCATCTTCTTCTCAACAGTTGAGGCACAAAGCGGTAGGTGAGCTGTTTCAATATGTGGTGCTATTGCTTATTCTAACTGGTTGTGTTCCATGGCCACAAAAGTTGGTAGGACATATTTGTGATTAGTGGGGCGTTGCTCATTATGATTTCAATGATAGGAAGTCTGTGGTCTATGTTTTAGTATCTCCATGGTGTCATAACCTTTATGTTAGCAGTACAAGTCGTTGTCTGGACGAGTGCTGGAGAGAGCATGTTTACCGTTCTTGTAGCCAGTCGGTGGTCGATAATGGTTGCCGAAATGAGAAACTGTATCGATAGACGAGGAAATTTGGTATTGATCGTTATGCCATAATTCCGATTTGATTTTGCAAGGAGGAAGACAGATTGCGGGTAGAGAAATACTACATTAAGCTTTTCGGTGCTTCGCTTAACTCCTTAGGTCAGAAGAAGAATCGAAAACGAAGACGTCCGGTGAAACGGGAGCGATCTAAACATAAGAAACTAACCGTTATAGCTGCCAGAAATAATGCATACGGTCTATCTCACCTTCCAAATTCTTTATCTCATTCGTCTTCTTCTTTGCTGCGTTATCATTCCTCCGTTGGAATTACCTCAACTAGTTTGTTACGAATTTTAGATCATTGTGTCACGGAGAAAGCTTCTTCATGTTATGTGGTGTGCCGCGGTGGTAAGCTTCGGGAAGATAATTGGAAGTCATTAAAACGCTGTTATGGGTTGTCCGTTGTGACTTGCGAAGGGGTGACTGACCAGTTGCGCTCAGACAAAGGTTTCATGCGGGATGGTGCTTTGTTAATCTTTTCGTCTATTACCCCGTTCTGTCAAAAATTCCTTAGCCTCAAACCGTTTCTCTCACGTTTACTGGGTAACCTAGGGTGTAGACGATTCTTAGCCACTTGAGATTTGAGTGTCTTGCTCCAATCATTCTCTGCAGTTCGTTTTTTTAAGGAGAAGCGTAGTAGAAGTCGACTGAGGACGATCCTCTCCAAAATCATCATTTCGAGATTTGATCTGCTGGTACGTAGACGACTGGTGGTTCGTGTCAAGTTTGACTATCGACTCTGTAAAACTGAGATTCGAAAAGCTTGCAGCCGTTTGGTGGGGACCTTAGATATTCACGATGATTGGAGGAGGTTGATCGTGCGACATATGAGAATAGTATGGTGCAAGAATAAATCCGTCGGCGATGTTTTACATAATTATCGTTCCTTCTATCGAGAGAGTGCGGTGGTGTGCTATTGTGATCAAGTTGACAATCGTTTTCCTGTGAAGAATGGACATGTCTCCTTTCGGTTCAGTGAGAGTGATCTCTTTCCTGTTTGGATGAAAAATTCGAGGAATATTCTTAAGTTGTGCGTAGTTGACCCGCTCGCATCTTTGAAGAAACAAATTCTTAACTCTTTCTGTACGTATCACCGTTCGTGTGCGGTCACTACTCAATCTCTGTCCTTATCAGATCTTGGTAATTGTCTCACCTCTTCTCACGAATCTGATCAATATCCCTCTATCGATCAGTTGGAATCTATTAAGAACCAGCTGGAAGGTTTATACTGTACACCAATTGACCATAATATAGGTGACACATTTGTGTGTTGCCCTGTCGTATATGCGAAGGGGATGAAGGGGCTGTTCCTTGATAATCCCGCCTTTGAAGAAGTTGACGTTCAGGAGAAGGAAGTGGTTTTGCGGGTCAAGACTGAGTATGTGAACCGTGGGTTTGAGAGAATTGGTAAATGATGCCCTAATGCAAGCTTTGGCAATGCTTACGGAATTCCGAAACACAAGGACGTTCAGTGGTGGAGGCCAATCTGTCCTTCGTATTTAGAAGGATCCGTTCGTAGTGGTCGACGTATAGCATATGCCATCAATGAAATGTTGTGGAAACTACCTGCAGATATGCACTTTAACTTAAGAAGTATGAATCAACTCTTGACTGGGTTGAGAAAGATGAATGGGACGAAAAACAGGAATGACACGTGTGTTGGTACCTCCTTCGACATAAAGGAGATGTTTTCCAATCTACCGCATAATTCCATATTACGGGCGTTGAAGTGGGTAACTGACTATTGGGATACAAAGTCTTTTTCTGGTGTCATGGTTAGTAGGAATGAGAAGAAAGCAAAGTTGACTCGGGGTAAAGGTGAAGAAGGATGGTTACTCATTTGTTTTTATGAAATCTGCCGGTATGTCTCCTTTGACTTATGTAATACTTTTGTCAAAGCTCAGGGACAATTGTTGAAGCAGGTTATTGGGATCCCTATGGGGAAACCATCCCAGCCCAGCCTTGGCGTGTTTATTATGCGTTTTTTCTGAATTCCTATATCTGCAGTCGCTGGGGGCCAACAAACGTTTAGTCCATGGTTTTTGTATTGTTGATGACGTGTCCGTTTTTGTTAAATTTTCGAAGAAAGATGTGGCTGGTCCGAAGAAAGCAGGGGCTTTGTTGCGTTTTTTTTACAACTGCTATGACCAGAATTTGAAGTTAGAAAATACGAGTAATGGGACAGTCTGGGATTTTATTGGTTGCGTCCTTAAGATATGCGATCCTACTAGTTATGTCGAGTGCTTCGCCACATTGAAGAACCAAGGGGAGGAGAAGCTGATTTTCCAAAGTATTCAAGATTTTTTGTCATACTCGAACAAGAAACAGAAGATGGCGGTGATCTTGTCTTTTCTTCACCGCTCTAGGACGTATACTTTTGTTCCCGGAACGGAGTTGGCGTTTTTACTATCGTTGAAATGAAAGCTATGGTGTCGTGGGTACCCTGATCGGTTTTTCGATTCAACAGTTACTAATTTCTCGATGAGGTTTGGCGGTTGCTGGAAACAGTGGTTCCCGGTACTTACCGATTGGGACAGATGGTTCCAAAAAAGTCCTGCTATTTTGAGTGCAGGCTGTTGCAGCTGAGATGAACGTGGACGTAGTGAAGATGTTGTTGCGTTCTGATTTTCTTCTTTTTATTCTTCTCCTTTTTTCTTTTTATCTTTTTATCTTCTTTTTATCTTTTTATCTTTTTATAATATTAATGGGACCCAATAATATCAATACTGATACTGATGCAGTACGTATGGACCATAGCTATGATATTTTGTTTTTTCTTTTCTTTTCTTTTCTTTTCCTTTTTCTTTTTCTTTTTCTTTTTCTTTTCTATTTTTTCGGTCAAGTGGATGAACTACTATACTGTGGTCTGACGTTGACGTGTTGTATGTGGAGTAAGGAGAAGTGGTTTCGTGATATCATCTAGCATTTTTTGACTTAGGCCTCCTCTAGGCCCCAAGTGGGCGCAGTGGTGATGCCGTGAGATAGTAATCTTTTTTGAAAGTATTTTTCGTGATATTACCTATTTTTTTGAGACTTAGGGCCTCGCCACACCTATCTCCAAAACAGCGATTTGGAGAGAAGTGGCATCGCCACACCAACTCCCGAAAATCGCAGTCAGAAAGAATTTGGAGAGCGGTCAGAACGCGGTTCTCGGGAGTGCAAAGCACCGGATTTGAGGAGTGGTCCGGGGCTCCTCCTACGCGGCCCCAAACTGGAGAGTGCGCCTCGGCCGACAACCATCCGTTGCCACCGTTTTGTGTGGGTTCGCCACACCACTCTCCAAATGTGAAAAAGACAAAAATGTGGTGGGTGCATCTGGCCATGTTCTAGCGGGAAGTTCATTCTCATTTTGCACATTTCGAGAGTGGTGTGGCCAGGCCCGTCGTCTGCGCTCTCCAAAAAATGTCCGGCCTCGTCTGACGAATTGGAGACTGCCGCCTTGGAGAGGGCAGTGTGGCGACGAGCCCTCTCGAAAGGTTTTTTCACATCTCCCGCGTTCTGGAGTGCTCTCGAACTTTTTTGCGTTTTCGGGATAGGTGCGGCGAGGCCCTTAGGCTCCTGGCAGGCCCCCAAGTGGGCGCAGTGGAGGTGTGGTGGTGCTGCACTCTTTTCTTGAATCTGCCGAACGTTATTTTCTAGAAGTTCGAGTATGTACTTTTTCCATTTTCTGCTCTGGATACAGATGTTTTTTCCTCGGAAGTGTCATAAGTTGTCAGAGGCTGGAGATATGTTTTTTAACTATTGGCGCGGTGGCTACGTACATTTTTTGCTTGGTCTGTTAGTATTACCACTATATAAGGTAGTATCAGTCTTAGGATTAGTCACCTGCGACGACTTTCCGGACCCCTGATGAGACTGCTTGGCGGAGCAGTCGAAACCGGTCGGGTCAACCCGCCGTTTTGTGCGTTACGACATATGTTTTCAAAATTCAAGTCGTGTTCGGGGAACTGCTCTAAGACTGCGTTCCACCTCCTTCCTCCTCCTCCTTGCCTTCTCTTGCTCATCTTCTTGCTGCTCATCTTCTTGCTGTTGTGACGGTGTGTTCGGTACTGTTGCTGGTTGCCATTCGTTGACACCTCAACAACAACAACTCGCCTCACTACTGTGGTTTCCCGCCTACTACTGTCACACAGACTAGTAAACTATACTATTCGATGGCATGTGGGCCGAGGCCCCGGGGGTGGGAAGAGAGGGGGGCGGAAAAGAAGGGCGCGGGAAGAGGTGTTAGCGGGAAGAGGTGTTAGCGGGAAGAGCAGTGAGCGGGAAGAGGAGGGGCACAAAGCTTGGCCGTGTGCTCCTAATTGTGCGTATAGTTGGCGGTGGATGATGGAGATGCTGCGATAATCACTGTGTTTTTGCATTTGCGGTTGGCCACGAGGCGGGTGGRGGGTRTAACTAGCTAGYTRGTGCGACCCTTGAACTAGTGAATATAACTGCAGTTATGGCTCCATTCACGACGAAAATACGTTGCGCACTAGAGGATGGTGCCCTGCTCGAGAAGTATGTGTGBCCTGCTGTGAGTGCTTCTCGGCAGCCCCGTCGTCGYGGTGGGGAAGAGGTTTTGAGTCTAGGAAGTGGCGAGAACAAGAGGCGGGGGCCAGATGGTGATGGAGGTGGAGGTAGCGGTGGAAATGAGTGCGTCCTCCGTGGCAACCTAGTTTTTGTTGTCGTTGTCGCAATTGCGCTTCTGGCGGCCTTGACCACCCCTGCAAGCTGTCTATCCTTTCGAGAACACGATTGGGTGCGTGGAAACCGCCGATCATCGTTTGTCCCTCTGGCGTTCAAAGGTTCAGATGACAGCATTCGAGGACCAAATCACATAGATTCGATCCATCGTCGGAGGCTGAAGGGAAATGCGCAGATGCCACTCTTTGGAGGTGTTCTTCTTGGCGGGTAAGTTTTTGCCGACGTGTCATAACACTGCTCCCTTCCCGATGAAAGATGATGAAAACCCAATCCTACTCTTTACATAATCCTTCTCGCCCTCCGTGGTCCCGCCAACATTCCCCACCGGCTTTCTCCGCGTCCGGGGTTCCTCCTCCTCCCAGATCAAAACCCACTCTTCCTCTTTATAAAATATATACCCCTCCTCCTCCACTCACACCCGCCCTCGCTTTCTCCGTCCAGATTTCCGTCTCGTCCATCCTCCTTCCGGATCGAAACGCAATCCTCCTCTTTACAGGATACTCCTCCTCCCCCCTTGCCCGCGCTTTCTCCGACCGTATCTTCCCCTCTTCCCTCCTCCATCCAGATTAAAATCCAATCCTCTTCTTCACAGGATCCTCCTCCTTCCCCAAGGCCCGGCTTTCTCCGGCCTGATTTTCTCGTCCCTCTACCTCCCTTCCCTCTTCCCTTTTCAAAGGCGCTCCGCCACCTTCTCCTTTCCCTTCGCAGTCGTCTCTCCTCACCTTCTGTTCCTCCCTGCCACCTCTTCCTGTCTTCTTGTTCTTCTTCCTCTCTTCCTTCCCTTTGCCTCCCCCTTCCGTTCTCGTGCCTTTCTGTCAATGCCCTCTGTTTTCTTTTTCCCGATCACAGGATGTTTGTCTGAATCTTCGTGCCCTCGTCACCGTTTCTCACTGCTCCTCACCGCTCCTCACCGCTCCTCACCGCTCCTCACCGGTCCTCACCGGTCCTCACCGCCCTTCACTGCCCCTCACCGCCCCTCACCGCTCCTCACCGCTCCTCGCCGCTCCTCGCCGCTCCTCGCCGCTCCTCGCCGCTCTTCACCGCTCTCAGTGTTCCTTTTACTCATCAGGTCTTCCTCTGCTTTCGCGTTTTCTTCGCCTTCCCTCCCCGTTCTCTTGTTCCTCAATCGTCGTCCTCGTTATGCTCTCTTTTCCCTCTCCAGTCAGGTCCCGGTTTAGATAGCATACCATAGCCTAACAACCCCTTGTCTCATCTTGACTGCTCGAATGCGCCTTCTCTCCCCCTCTCCCTTTCTTTTTCGTCCTCCTCCTACCTGTGCTTCTCCCCGCCCGAATGCCCCTTCTCTCCCCCTCTCCCTTTCTTTTTCGTCCTCCTCCTACCTGTGCTTCTCCCCGCCCGAATGCCCCTTCTCTCCCCCTCTCCCTTTCTTCTTCGTCCTCCTACCTGTGCTTCTTCCCGCCATCGCCGCCATTGCCGAGCATCTGTCTTTCTCGTCCTTCTTAGTTGCGGTAGCTTGGTTCTTCCGCATCGGAAACTCGTTATCTTCCCTCCTCCGCGGTCCTTCAACATCCCCATCACATCCCCCTTTCCTCCCTTTCCTCCTCCCCTTACCCCTCCCCTTCTTACTCTTCCTCTCTTTACGCCTCCCCTCTTCCTCCTCCCCTTACCCCTCCCCTTCTTACTCTTCCTCTCTTTACGCCTCCCCTCTTTACCCCTCCCCTCTTTACCCCTCCCCTCTTCACCCCTCCCCTCTCCCCTCTTTACCCCTCCCTTCTTACCCTCCCTCGTCTCACCTCCTCCATCCCATCTCCCTCATCTGATCCCTTCCCTAATCACACGGCTCTCACCTTTTTACCCCCCTCTTTACCCCCCTCTTTTTCTTTTTCCTCTTCCTATTCCTCCCACATCTCACCTCCCTCATCTCACCTCCCTCATCGTCTTTTTTTTTCGCTCTTTTCTTTCCGAAATCTTCCCCCCGTCATCTCGCCTCCCCATCTTACCTCCCCCAACTCACCGACCCTCCCTCACGTCCGCCATCTCACCATCTCCCTTTTGCTAGACACTCTTGGCCGTGATCATCCTTGTCGCTTCCTGATGATTGTCGTCGATCCTCAAATGCTCCATTGTCTGGTACTCCATCTTTATTTTCGTTCTTACCCTCTCCTCTTTCTTCCACTCGACACTCTTGTTCACGTCCAGGTCAACATGTCGTCCTTCTGGTTGGCGGCTAACCCATTTCTCCTCCTCGTTCTCCTTCCTTTCCTCCAACATGTCGTCCTTCTGGTTGGCGGCTAACCCATTTCTCCTCCTCGTTCTCCTTCCTTTCCTCCTCTTCCTCTTCCTCTTCCCTCTCCTCCTCTTCCTGTCGGTTTCTCATCTTCCTGGGTCTGTGGTCCGGTCGGAGCAACTAATCCGAGATCTTTGACATAATTGCATTTTTCAATTTCCTGGAAAATAGATCTCTACGGATTTTGGCGAAATGTTTTTTGTTCCAATTTGTTGCATGCTTCTTGTGCAATCCTGCCCTGCCTCTCACCTGCTCTTTATGGCCGGCGCTCTTGTGTGAAGATATGTTCGAGAGGGTTTTCCTACACAGGTCTCTGTCTCCAAACATGACTTCATCCCCTGCAACTTCAGCACAGAT